ATTTCAATGCATATGATATGAATGTGCACCAAACACACTAAGCATATATCTTAAGCAACATATGGATGTTACTATGCATGCCAAACATGAATAATGCTTCATGAATGCATGTTCGATACTGAACTCCCTTCTTGGTTCCTATGCATGACACATGCTACGATGTCATGACATGAACTGGGTATTTCAAGCCCCCGCCATTGATGTTAAACATCCAATGATTATTTATCAATACTTGTGTCTTTAAGCATCCAATGATTATTTATCAATACTTGTGTCTTTCTTGGGTAGGTAATTTATAGACATCACACCAAAGAGCTACCAAATCAACATGGTATTTGAGGGCATTCCACCTCCAGTTCCGAGTACACTGGTACACTTTTTTAAAATTCCATCGCCGGGCAAATGTGTGAACTAAGTAATCGGGCTTTACACCTAAGGGAGAATTTATCCCTTCTTGTTATACCCAACACATTTTTAATGCAATATTTCATGCGACTTAATTAGACATTTGTCCAATTTTGTCGATTCCACGAATCAACAGCATGTGGTGATTGACCCAACTCATGCACACATATTTACATTCATGTCAATGCCCATGAATGTAGTGCAACGCGTGCATATGTACTATAATGTTCAATTCTAATTTTATTCCATCACAATGCTAACTATATCATGTAAGCATGTGACATCTCATAAGAATCAACATGTTAATTATATCATGAGGCATATAATAACATTCCATAAACATCACTAAGCATTTTATTAGGCCTTTCAAAATCTAACACGACACGATTAATCGATACGAATTAAACGAACATGGGTGATACCTTAACGATTTCGGGTGATAAACGGATTAACCCGCTAGACACGTTTAATAAATGAGTCATGTTTAGGTGAGACCTATCAACTTGTTTATCACCCGTTTAATAAAATTAATATAATAATAAATTAATAATTATTTTAAAAAACATAGTCAGAATTAAAGTATGATATACAAATATATGGTAAATAAGTAAAAAAAAAATCTTAATTCAAAAAAAAAAGTGAAAAGGCATTTGAAACTTGACAGTGAGCATACAAGAACAAAAACGGAGTAGATGTGAGTCAATGGCCTAAGTACAAATTACTCACTTGCAGAACTTACCCTAGTGCTCGATGTGGGAACAAACCATTTGAGTTCTTGACAAAGAATCGAGAGCTTACCAGTTACCACCCCCATCAACAACACTGACCGGTGAGAATGATCGAGATCTCAATTGGGGTCTCCTCCATTGGAATGGAAGAGCTAGAGTTCATTCATCTCCACAAGACCACTGAGAATTGGAAACTGAGAGATCTTGGGATTTTGGAAGATCCAAAGGAATCGATTGGGCCATTGAGAATGATGGGGTTTTGATTTTCTTTTGTTTAAGGGTCTTTTCGGCATCGTAGAAGAGGATTTGTCGGGATATAGATCAAAGATCAATGTGGGCATCAAAAAATACATGATCGAATGTTGGGATGGGAATTGGGTATGTTTGATAGAAGTGAGGGAAGAGAAAGAATTAGAAGAAGGGATTATTGGATCGCAATGAAGATTGTGGAATCGACAAGGTGAGATGCGGAGATGGGGAGCAATTGAGAAAGGAAAACCACTGCTTTTGTTTTTGTCCCACATCGGTAAATGAGGGGAGATGGGGAGAACTGACTTGTCTATGAAACACAGTGGTCTCTTGTCATATTTTTTTAGCCTATAAGTCTAATTTTCATGTGGGATTTGGTTAAAAATTTCTCTTTTTTGAGGTAAATACAGTTGACAATATTAAAATTTGGTGATATATTTTTTTAAAAATTAAATAGGTTAAACAAGTCATGGCGTATTACCTGTTTATTAAATGAGTCGTGTTCGTGTTAAGATTTTTCACCCGTTTATTAAACGTGTCGTGTACAGGTTTACATATTTTTCACCCGTCGCCTATTTAATCCGACACGTTTGACACCCCTATATTTTATAAATAATATCAATTCAAATAATACACTCGAACATGCTTTGGCAGTTTATCAAATACCTTCAAGGCATAAAATGTAAACACATAGTATGCCCAATCATCTCACATATACCCAACATTTTTAACACCCAAAATCAATTAGAAAATGGTTTACATGTTCATCAATTCACAAACTTCTCCTAAGCTACACTAGTTACATGGTAGATATGTAAATATTCTACATAACCCTATTCATGCCATATACAACTTGAAATTAAAAGAATTCCTAAATTGAAGGAAACCCTCATCTCTTGAAGCGTAAGAAATGAAGTGAGTCTTCCAAAATACCCCAAGTAAGCTCCTTAAAGCCCTAGCCTAAGAGCCCTTAATTTTAAAAAATGGTGGAAAATGCTTTAAGTTGGTGTTGTCGTGTTACCTTTGTTGAGTAGAACAACTTTAATTTTTAAGGTTTGATGATCCAACTATTGGATCTTGCAAGATAGGAGGAAAAAGAAGGAGAAGTTTGAAGAACTCTTGCATTTTTTTTTCTCTCTCTCCAATGAAATTGCAAGGAAAATGGGGAAAATTCTGATTTTTTTCCCCTTAAATACTCTTCATGTGTTTGATTCACAATGTACCATGTGTCACCTTTTGATTAGTTGAAAATCTCCCACATCTAATCAAATTGCATCACATGTCTAATTGGATAATGCTCTTTAAAATATCTAGATCATTTATATTGTAGATCCTACAAATAAAACCAATTTATTGGAATTGAATCGCGTGTCACTCGATCGCACGTTTTGCCTCGTTTTACGTGAAAATTTTAACTGTCTTACAATTTAATAAAATTTTACTTGCTAACTCGATTTCGTGAGACGAATCTTACGGTGAAGTCAGTTTCGTTATCTGAGTTATTTAAAAATTTAGGTTTTTAACCCGCACTTAAACAGTTTATTACCGCATTATCCCTTTAATTAAGGTTTTAATTTTTCTCGAGTTTTACATATTGAACCAGTGCCTCGCAGTTCCCTTAAGCGTGGTGGCAAAAGCTCAACAATTTATTTGGTTTGGGACACTATGGAGCATCATTAGAGAATTGTAAGTCTTTAAATAGTCTAGTGGGTCCTTTGTTCCATCGAATCCCTCAATTGTAGGCATTTTAAACCTCTTTGGCAAGGGATAGTTTGATACGTCTTGGGTGAAGGGTGACTTGGTGTTCTGGATCAGAGTCTCAATGACTTTTTGGACCTGAGCTTTCACCGTGTTCATAACATTTCCCAATTTCTTATTTACTTCTTGGAACTTTTGCTCCTATTGGTCATTGATTTAAGGATGGAAAACTTCGTTCTGGCTCCGATCGATCTCTTGCTTATCCCCCGCATGCTCCCTAGTCTGGGATAGATCCCGTTCTTGGAGGTAGGGAATTTGCTAATTTTGTTTCTTTAGCTCCTCAATTTTTTTCTCTAACCTCTTAACCTTTACACACTCCCTTTATGGTGGAGGTACAACCCTTCGTCCCACTGGATGAATATTGGGGCGTTTGTTAGTTTGGTCAATTGCAAGTTCTTTCAATGCTCTCATGATTGCTATGAAACTCATAAGGTTACTAAAACTCAAGTTGTTTCCCATAGACGATGCTAACTTTTTATCCTAAAAGTAGTATCAATGGAATATCGGATGACCTGTCAATCGCTAGCGAGCTCCTACACAGAAGTCGAAGATTGGAGGGATTCAAGTGTTTGACCCTCCGATTATTAAGTCAGTAAAATGAAAAGAATTAGCTAGAATTGAGTTAGGAGGAATTACTTACCTAACTCGTGGCTAGCTCCTCTACTTTATAGGCGAGCTGTTTTTACCCTTCAGGCACGTCAGCTATCTTTTGAATATGGTGGCAAGTAATGTGGAACTTCCAACCCAAGATATCTGGAACAGGTTTGAACTATTATGGTGGGATATGGATGAATGGACTGATATGCGGTTTAGATCCTTAGAGGGACCAAATCTAGCTTACATGCTCGCGTGCCCGACCACTCATGTGCTTCCACATGCCTGGCCAGTTACATTTCCTCGGGTCATTTCTATCTCCATCAATAATTATAAAGAAATCGGATAGAAATTAAACAAATTTTAATACGATAAAATTTAAACACATTATGAACATGACACAATATGACACGTGGCCAGCAGCCTTGAATTGTAAAAGCGTGTCAAGATGTGTTGTTCAAGTGATAAAAAAGAAGTCTTACTAATCCAATACAGATTTTGCCGTGACTTGGCCCTTGCCGTCTATTGCATCTAAAAGTCGAAGAAGCCATTTTAACATTTGTTCTAGAATCTAATACAGTAGTTTATTTGTGATTATATACATATATCCTGAGTTTATATTACAGCTAGGCTTGACAGTTCTAGAAATTATCCACAAATTATAAACAAAATTGATACAAAATTAATAAATTGTGTTTAATATTAATGGATTAGAGTGATAAGTATAGACCTGTTAGACGCATTAAATAAATTGGTTGACATGAACTTAGTTAAACACGACATGAACACACAATATAAAATGCATGATCCTGACATAATACGAACCCAATTAATTTAACATAACAGCGGTTCAAATTATTTTAAATCAGGATCCAGTAACTTATTTTACAAAATACACGTAGTCAGATGGATCCAAATACATGCTACAACTGTATACTTGAAATTTGTCCAGGCATATTTCTATTGGATTAGTGTATTTAACGTATTAGGGTAGTTCTGCCTAAGTAATACAATTGAGAACTAATATTTGATCTAATTTGTTGATGTGGTAGCTAGTAAGGTCTAATAGCATTATTGTAACTGTAAATGTTGGATTTTTTCATTGTGACTATGTCACTTGACACACTATCGGGTTAGTAAATTAGGTGCAAAAAATTTTATCCATACAACCTTTGCAAGACTATTATATCCAAAAAAAATGCCATCCCTTTAATATATGTAGTTCTAGTGATAAAAAGACGTCTTATTGATTGAATGGGCATAGATATGAGTGATTATCTGCATTGTCAATTAATATAACAATTAGGCTCGACAGTTTTAAATTTTACCTATGTGGGAATCAATTAAAATCACTCATGCCCGGCACGATCTAGACATAACACAAATCAAACCATACATAATTATAAAAAGATTGGTACGTAATGAGCAAACTTTGATACGTGACTTGAACAATGACATGTATGGCCCTTTCTCGAGCAGTCGGCTTACAGTACATATGAATATGCATATACTTTTTGTTTTTCAGACGGCAACATATCTTATTGTAGAGACCTCTTCTTCCATCCTCTTTCCATCCCATTTGTCTCACCCCTCCTATTTATAGAGAGATTGTGATCTATTTGTTTCACAACTCCAAATATTTACAGTATCCATTCTCTACTTTCTTATTCATCTTCTTCATAATCAAGATGGAAAACCACATTATGCTTTAAAGTTTGCTTGCTCTCTCTTGTGCTCTGACATTGGCTTTTGAGCCCAGTCCCTTGCAAGATTTCTGCATCGCAGACACTACAAGTCCAGGTTCAAATACAAGGCTTTTAACATGTTTCTCTTCTTCATACCTTTTTCATTATTTCATAATTATTTTATTCATTCTTCTTGATTCTCTTTTTGTATGTTGACAGTCCTCGTTAATGGCCGCGCTTGCATGGACCCCAAATTTGTGCAGCCTGCACATTTTTCCTTCAGTGGGCTTCACATAGCTGGCAATACATCCAATCGGTTTGGCTCTGTGGTTACTCCAGTTAATGTGGCCCAAATACCTGGATTGAACACCCTTGGTATCTCTCTGGCTCGGATTGACTATGCAGCATGGGGTGTTCTCCCTCCCCACATGCACCCTTGTGCCACGGAGATCTTGACAGTCCTAGAAGGGACACTTGAACCTCTAACCCTGAGAACCGATTCATTTCAAAAGTTCTTTAGAAGGGTGATGTGTTTGTTTTTCCGGTTGGACTTGTTCACTTCCAAAGAAACGTGGGGTATGGAAGTGCTGTTTCGATCTCTGGTTTGAGCAGCCAGAATCCTGGTGTCATTACCGTGGCTAATGCCGTTTTTGGCTCAAACCCGCCCATGCCAACTGATATGCTTGCCAAAGCATTCCAGGTGGACAAGAATGTGGTCGATAACCATCAAGTCATTTTCTAAGCAAGCATATACAGCGTTCAAAGAGATTTGACGACTTTGTAATTTTCATAAGATTGCGCAAGGGTGTTGTTTGTCTTGCTTTCTTGGTTTGTTGTCTCATAATTCTATAAATTTAATTGCATTTGTTTTGTTTAGTCTCGTTCTTGAATCAAATTTGATGTCTCTTTATTTCTTTCTACCGTGAAAGAAGTGAAAATTATATTTCTTATGAGCACTATTAATTTATTGGAATGAATGCGAGGTAGCAATTTCTTTTTCTTATTTAATAACTTGAAAGATAAACAATCAATTCATCAAATAAATGTTGGACGTGTGTGCATCAATTGCATGTTTAAAATAAAATAAAGCAATAAAGAGACATACATAATTGTTGATGCGGAAACCCATCTCTGGAAAAATCACGGAAAACCACTTTAGGATTCACCAAAGCCTAATCCAATATCTCAATGTCAATCTACAAGTACTCAAGAATTATATCAACCATTTCTCATGGCTAGATGTTCATTTCATTTAATAGATCCCTCCGCCGAAACTCCCTCTTTGAAGTTATGGATAGCTTCGCTTGGACTCCTCCACCACAATAGATCGTTTGAGCCTTGAACAATCTTCAGTGCTTCACACCAAGACTCTTGGAATTCACACTTTTTCAAGTAGGTTTTGGCTGACACCATGCAAGACCTTTTTCTTCAATGTGTGATATTGAATGAAAGAATCAAGATAGTCTTTTTTGAACTTAGGGATTTAAGGTTGTTTTTGAAGCACTCTAGAAAGATTTGGGTCTTTTCTAGCTCATAGAAGCTTACCCTAGCAAAAACCTTTGGCCCCTTGTTTATAAGCACTTAATAGGGTTTGTTTTAGTGACCAAATAAAACCAAAGTCGTGCACGACCGCTGGAGTAGTGGGAGGGTGCTGATTGCTAGAATGAAAAAAGAATTGAAACCATAGTACTAGAGCATGGACCGCTGGAGGGGACACTCATTCAACCTTGTTTGATTTTATTTCTAAGTGTTCAGAGACCACCCTGGCTAGGGAACATAAGACGGTCCCTACTAGCTTTTTAAGCCTAAAATCAAACGAAAAACTATTCTCTTGGGAACTAAAGTGTGCTCCTCAAGTAGGGTCCAATTATGACTCAAACTATATTTTCAAAACACAACAAGGTTTAGTAAAACTTTTCTACAAAATTCCCTAGGAGCCATACTTGGATTAACCACCAATTCCATGTTAACTCTAATCATCATAGGTCTAATAAATTAAATCAAGGATTCTTAGGTATCTAAGACACCTTTGTCCTAAGAAATAAGGTGCATATAGAGATTTTCTTCATATTGCTTGAAGCATGATATCCTCTCTTCCATTGACGCTTTCGAATTTTCAACTTTGTAACATCAAAACTGATGGTGTAAATCAATATGAATGAGCTGAGCACGTATGTGCGTGATCAAATGCGTATCCAGGCTATCAAGTTCGTAATGGCTATGATGAAGTATTCTTTGGGGGGTTAGGGATGTTTGCACATTAAGAGTATAGTGGTTCACCGGCTGTGGAGCTCGGTTAATCCACTCTTCAATGGAGGCTCTTGTTCCCTTTCCTCTATTCACTGCTCAAATGCATTAAAATACGAAATATCTCCAAATTAGGGATTTTTTTTTCTCTCTCTCTACCCTTTAATGGAGGCGTTACATAGTATTTATAGGACTATTCCCTGTTCTGTATGATCTCAGCCGAGATCTTCACCTGTCATTAGTGGGATTCTCCTTGATTTTAGGAGAGAATCTTGGTTGGTTGAGAGTTTCATGTTTTGAACCCAATTTTTGTAGTTATTCAACTGTTTCCTGATCAGTTCCGCTACCATCTCTCCAAGGGGAGCTCTAGCTCTGGACTTCTGAGCTCCTCGTATCCTGCCTGACCTCATTTTCTAAGCTCGCTCTTATAACTTATTTGAGGTATCATCAGTTGCCCCCAGCCTTGGTTCAAGCGAGCTTGGGCAGGGGTTGAGCTGTTTTTAAACCAAGTTGGGCTTGCACGTGGCTATCCTTGGCTTGCACGTGATAGATGTCTTTTGGACGATTTTTAGCAATCATGATTTTCTCGATTCTCGCACACGCTTCAGCCCGCGTCTCTCAAGCTTTAAATACTCTATCAAAATCGCCCTTTTCCACTATATGGTTTCTTTGCTGTCTTTCTCTTCTTGCGGTCTCTTGGCTTTCTGGTTTGAAGTTCTCCGATTCTTTATTCAAGATTGAGTTTTATGGGTTCGATTTGAAGATTCGCATTGCCCTCTTTCTTCAATTTCGCTCTAGGCTATTGTTCTTTCCTAACTAGGTACGCTTCTTTTGCCCCCTTTTTCACCTTTTCTTGTCCTGGATCCCTCGAGTTCGAGGTGGTCATTGCATTTCTAGATTTTTCGATTCTTTTATCTCTAAAACTGAAACTGCTGCTTGTCTCCTCTTCCCCACTTCGTGGATTGGTGCCCTATTGTGCAAATTCTTGTTGTTGGAAGCTATTGTGTTGACCCTAGGGTTATCTAGGAGTGCCTTACTAGTATCCCTCACCTCTACCGTTCTTTTAATTTACCTTTCTCTTGTCCAACCATGTCTATCCCTTCTAGAGTTACTCGCTTCTCTGTTTCTCTCTTGGGAGTAAGGTCTGCTGAATAGGACACTGATTTAGGGGATGTGGGCGAGGAAATTGACAACTTCCCCGATGTTGATGTTGTTGATGCCGAGGCAAATACTGAGGAACCTCCCTCATCGTCTTCTTTTGTGTCTCCTAATCCTAACAAAGGTAAGGGCAAAAGTGAGTGAGGTAGGAGTCTCTGACAGCGTAGTAGGCACAGGGGCTGCCTTTAGACATGCTGAGCTCGTAGGCCCTAGTGAGGTTGACCATTCTCTTATGAAAATTTTCAGTGGTCGTTATGATTTTCCTCCTAGTGTCCAGCCATGGTGTCTAGATAAATCCACCTCATATGTTGCCCAGGTTCAAAAGAAAGTCTATTTTTTTGTGGCCACTTTTGAGAATGACCTTCACTTCCCTATGCACCCCTTCATCAAGAATGTTTTGCAACACTTCAATGTCTACCCTGCTCAGCTCTCTCCTAACTTTTGGGTGTTCTGGTGGGTCTTCTAGTTTTATTTAAAAAACATGAGCTCAGGTTTCCCAACCTTTCTTTGCTCTTGGATCTTTTTAATGTCAAGCTTATCTCATATGAGGGCTTCTCGTATATCTCCAAGCGAACCACGGCTAAGCAGATCATTACTCACCTCCCGAGCTCCCATAAGGACTGGAAAAAATAATTCTTTTTCGTTGAGGGCACTAACTGGGAGTACAACCCTGCTAATAGGACTGACATTCTTGGTATCTCTAGAGCCTAGTCCACCCTCGATAACTTAGGTGAGTCCTTACTCAAACTGAATGAGTTCTGGTTTAAAATTATAAGTTGCATTTTTGACCTTTGCTCTCCTTGTATTGTTTTTCAGGCACTCGACCCGAGCTCAGTGCTGAGGATGAGAAGGTGAAGCGGAAGTTGGAGAAGTGTAATCCAGAGAAATACTCCAAGCGGAGGTATCGATAGAAGTTCCGCTCCCTATCTCTGTTGTTAGACTTAAAAACGTAGAAGGTAACACTTTTGAATTAGTTTTCTTGCATTCCTTTCTTTTTCCTCTTTTCTGTTTAACTAGCTCGGTTCAGATCTTCCAGGTTCTTCCATAATGAAATCTACTCCTGAGGAACTCCAGGCTAAGGTTGACCTATTGAAGAAGAATAGGAAAAGTAGCAAACGAAAGGTTGAGATCAGCTCTGGAGGTAGCCTCGTTGACAGGGCTAAGGTGCAAAAGCTGAGAGTGCCTTCTTCTCCTGCCTTGACCAAAGAAGGACAAACTCCCTCATCTCAATCCCCGGCAACCTCCTCTCTTCAAGGGGCCCAACTTGCTCCCAAAAGGCTTCTAAGCCAAGGCTGGCTCCCCCCACATCTTCTGAGGTTGAGGGAGCTTTGGGGCTGATTACTCGAATTCAGCCAGACTCCACTCCTACTGGACCATCTGAATGACCATCTCAGCTGCCTCTCTAGAGCCCCAAAGTCAAAAAGAGGGAGGACCGAGAAACTGATGAAGACTCTTTCTTTGACAACGTTGTGTTGGCTGCTAGGGCCATTTCATCTATTCTTCCTGAATTTGATATTCAGAGGGCCTCTACCATGTCCCCTAAGACCTCTTTTTACTTAGCTCTCCAAGGAGCAACCATTGTAAGTGTTTTTACTCTCTCTCTTAGCTCGGTGCAGTTGATTTATGCTGATCTGTACTTATTTTCTTTTCTACCCCCAGATGGCTCTCCATTTGAAGAGCTTGATGGGTAGGGTCCAATCTTCGGAGGACTCTGCTAAAGCATTGAAGGCATACGAGTTTAAGGTCATTGAGCTGACCTTTGACAATGAGAACCTCAGAGCTCAAGTGCAAGGGTTTAAGGACAAATGGAGAAGCAGGCCTCTAACCTCAAAGGTTTTCAAGCAGCCAAGGATAGGGCTGAGGAAAGAGAGAAGAAGACCAGAGATGAGTTGAGGATGACCAGGGAAAAGTTGCTACTCAAAACTGATGCTTGGACCAAAGCTAACCAAGAAGCCTTTGATGTTCGGAATTCCCTGAGGGCCTTAAAAATGAGTATTTCATCATGGCTAAGGTGCAGAAGACCACTGTCAGGAAGAGGGACAATATAATAGTCAAGCTGAAGGATGATGTCACCACCAAGTGGGCCTCTGGATGACTGGTCTTTCAACGCAAAGTGGAGAAGGTCTATCCAGACCTCGACTTTGACTTTGTCATCCCCACTAATGAGGGGTTGGAGAAAACTAATTTAGAGGGCGATGACAACACCTTGGCTTTGCTGCTTCTGATAGGGCTATGGAAGGTACTGAAATGTCGACTGCTCTAGCTATTCCTGCTAATACCTCCATTTTTGCTGACCTCGTGACTGAGGCCCTTGCTCAGAAATCGCCAATGGCTAGA